CAAAATTCTTAGATGTGGCCTCGGCCACATGGCGGGCAGCAAGCCGTTGGTACTTGGATACAGTGAGAGCTTCTGAATGAGTATCCAGACAGAGCTGCCTTATATCCTCTGGAGCCATCTGAAGGGCTGGAAGAACCCTGGACCAAAGTTGTTTTTGGTAGGCACCCATGGCCACCAGATAGTTAACTGCACGTAGAATGAAGGTGGTCATGGAGTACATGCGACGTGCCAAGATCTCAAGCTTCCTTCCCTCTTTGTTGGTTGGGGTAGGGTGACCCTTTGTTGGAGTCTTAGTAGAACTAGATTCTACTATCAAAGAGTTGGGTGCTGGGTGCATGACGAGGAAGGAGGTATTCTCGCCATGGATGCTATAGAGATTTTCAGTCCTTTTTGAAATCAAGGTAGCATTAGCAGGATTCTCCCAGAATTCTTTTATAAGGTCCATCAGTTCTGGTATGAAGGACAGACTGACTGGATGTGTCCTTTCAGCTTCGATGTCCCCAGCTTCGATGTTCGCCCGCTCTCGGCGCCAGCAACGAGCTTGTCGAGCTGGCTAACCGTAGGCGACCTTCCCAAGTCCACCGGTGGAGGTTGACGAAGTGGAATGGGGGCGCCTAAATCGGAGACCGAATCCCGGTCCCGAGAAGAGTCCTCGAGGAAGGGAGAAGGCACCGACGTCGAAACAGGCGGTACAGCCAAAGTAATCTCCTTGGTCTTCGATTTAACCTTCGACGCAGTCGTGGATGGTGCCTTCTTAGTCCCCGAGGCCGAAGAAGCAGGAACATCGGCAGATGACTTCTTCCCTGCAGGGAGTTTTTTGGATTTCCCTTTTAAAGTCTTCTTAGGAACTTCCTTGGACGTCGAAGGAGGGGAAGAAGAAACTAAAGTCACCTCCGAACGGACGGTGGAGACTGACTGGACAGATTCCATGTCCGACGGTTGGGAAGCAGACAGAGTCTGATTCCAAAGGAAATACTTGAGGCGTTACTGATGAGATTTTAGGGTGGCCTTGGTGAATTCCTTGCAATGCCTGCAATTGGTGGGCGAATGGGCCTCGCCTAGACAGAAACGGCAGAGGGAATGATGATCCTGGAAGGGAAGCTTCCCGGAGCAGGCAGAACAGCGGCGAAAAGGTCCTTTCTTCGCTGACATAAGCCAGGCGGTGAGAAACAGCAGAGAGAGTCGGTAATTGAACAAGTCCTGTAGGCGCGTGGCGCCTCAGCAGGAGGTAATAGGCCGCAATTAGGATCAAGTGGGAAGCGAAAGTACTTGCAATCAGAACGCCAGAGGCAAAGAACGGTCAGCCGGTCCGAGTTCAGGGCAACGTAGTTACGGGTAGATGAAAAACAAGCCAGGTCAAGCAGAAAATTTTCAAAAATAGCGAAAAGAGAGAATAATCTCAAGAGCTCTATCCGAGAGGTTCCAACTCCGCGGGCGGATAAATGGAACTGGGGATTTTTGGCGGGCTGCACTTGCGCAGTGCAGGGCAACCTAAACTTTGTATCTTTTTCCTCATAGCTCTGGAAAATTCCGAGGGGAACCAGCGCAGGCACTGTTTAACCCACCAGTGTGGATTCATAGAGAACCACGTTGAAGAAAAGCTGTGTTTCAATGATGACCTAATAGGAAATGACATCAGTGGTACTTTGTCAAGTACAATTCAGAGAACATTTTAATTTGGCTAAATTAATACACAGTATTTAGTGTTATATAGATTCACGAGCAGTCTCCAAATTGGTATTTAAAGAGTCACACGTTAATTCTGACTGAACGAAAGAGACGCAACTGGCACTCAAGTCACAATTCTGTTTCTGAAGTTCATTTTTAACAGACATTAAAGATTGCTACCAGTGAAGAGCTTATTCATTCAATACTATAGAATTCTCTTCTTCTATATGTAACATGTTAAATGACAATGGGCTTTGCTTATACTATAAGACAAGACAACTTTAAAAAAAAAGAATACATACAAGTATCCAAATGGACAGTACTTGTCACAAACTATAGATTTGCATTTTTTAGGACGTGGGCGGCACTGGCAGATCTTACAGTTGTGGACATCCGTCTGGAAACCAAATTCACAATCCAAGGTACAACCTGACATGAGGTCAGCACAGAACTCCTCTCCTGTGAAGAACACATTAAGCTTAGCAAAGGTTTTTAACAGTTATCCACCCTTGAAAACAAAACTATATATCCAGAAAAGTTTCTCACTAGTTATTTGACATTATGCTGTTCATTTATGAGAATCCAGGCTTATTGCTTTAATATGGTCTGCCACTTTTTATGAAGATAACCACCCACAAATTTATCTTGGACAATTACTGCAATAGTTTTTAGAAGGCAGACAATACAATGGGCATTGTACTATCTTGTGGCAAAGAATTTAATCAAAACAAATATGTGCTGCATGAAAAAAAGCTTCCAGCTAATCATACTGCACCTATTTATAGCCAATTTTGTTCCATAACTCTAAGTAGCAAACCTATAGCTTCAGAGGCTCTCTTGAAAAGCAGTCATGATAATGAAAGTATCATACACAGACATGTAGAACTTCCAACACCATATCCCACTAACATAAAGTGAAACCAAAATCCTTCAGACTGCATCTTACAAACACAGCTTATATATGTAGTATTCATATACGTATTATTATAGCTAACATAAATTCATTTAAACACATGCAGTGGCAATATTATACATTACAGCAGATACAAAGACACTTTTGTTCACCAAACTGCTCTTTGCAATTCATTTTTTACAAGAGTGAATAATATATATTAAGTATGTAAAAACCAGAAATCTCCACAGGAATCTCATGACATCATTGCTTTTTGGAAACCAACAAATGGATGGAAGTATGTTTTAAGTTCTATTTAACATGGAAAAAACTGAATTCTGAGTTTTCAGCACATGAGTCATCCCCCCCCCATGTTCATGGTATAACATTTTTGATTTTTGTGACAAGAGTACTTGAGAAAGTTTCCTAAAAAATATGCATGGCTTCCCAAAGCAGAGATTCTCTATATTTCTTACAAAATATTATGAGATTTTACTCCCTCACCCTTTTTTCGTATGAAAATTAGCAACCTTCTGCACGTTAAAGGTATTAAATTCCATTTTAAATGTTCATACAAGCCTTTTAAATTAGTAGGATTTTCTTAATTACTTTCAAATATATTTTAAACAGCTATCACAGGTGAGTTTAACTGTGCCTCCCTGTGCTTCATCTCATTAGACTTGCCTGGTACATAAACATAATTGCTCTGGGGCCAGTAAAACTGTAGCACATTCTGCCCTTTATCCTTCATCTTCTTTGCAAAATTGCATTTTGAAAAACTGGAGGATAATCTGACATTCTTCAGTTTGTGCTGTCCTCTGAAGATGCCGGCCACAGAGACTGGCGAAACGTTAGGAAGAACAACCTTCAGAACATGGCCAAAGAGCCCGAAAAACCCACAACAACCATTAGATCCCGGCCGTGAAAGCCTTCGCAAATACATTCTTCAGTTTCCTCAGATCTGTTTGTATAAAGCTCATGTTTCTGGCAGAATATATTTATAACCATTCAAGTATATTAACTATGCATTAAATGATTAGCAGAAAAATATTTAGACACAGTGCCTAGATGCTCATGCTTGCTATCAATTTTCTTATGTATTCTGCATTTAGCTTAACGCATGTACTCACTTATGTTTTGATCCCTGGAACTAACATCACAGGTTTCAAATGACTCTTGTGTATCTCAATGACATTGGGTACCGTATTCTGATGCTTGGGCTACATTTTTCTTGAAAGCCAATATGTAAAGGTATCTCCTGTCTCTGTTCAGGAAATTCAGAAACTGAAGGAATATGGGAGTTGTACTTCTTATGAGAACATATCACACAGTACATTTACCTTCCAGCCTTGTAATTTTCTTCCTCACACTGTCTAAGATGCTATGTACAATGATGGCACTATTTAGCTAACTGGTCCAAACTATTTGTTATATCTGCCAGCATAACACCACCAGCATAACTTTCAATGGTAAGGTGCCAAAAGTTAAGAGGAGGGCATAGACATTTCTTGAATACTAGACATGTTACTTAACACAAATAAGGTCAGTGATACATGTCTAGTAGGGTATATAAAAGCTAGCACACATTTGTAAACTCTGAGACACATTGTGTATTAGCCTAGATGTACAGTGGGGTCTTGACTTACGAACAGCCCGAGTTACGAACATTTTGACTTACGAACCGCTCTCAGGAAAATATTGACTTGACTTACGTACTTAGATTTGAGTTACGAACTGAAAAAAACTGAAAAAACCCACGTGGGAGGCAGGGAAAGTGCAAAATTTGAACTTTCAGTTAACTGTTGGCCAGTGAAAAGGGTGCCTATCTGCTTCCTCACTCCTCCCAGCGTTTAGAGAGTGGATTGGGGGACAGTCTTCAAATTGCCTGGTACTGCCTGGACTGTATTTTCCCTGCCTTCCCTGAATCTTTCTTGACCTAAGAAAAAAAGAAACAAAATATCCCCCTCTAGTGGTCAAAGGTGGAATAGCAGCTTCCCATTAGTTTCTATGGACAAAAAAGAGCAGATACGGATCAAATGGTTTTCAATGCATTCCTATGGGAAATGCAGATTTGACCTGCGAACTTTTTGACTTGAGAACCGCCTTCCAATACGGATTAAGTTCTCAAGTCAAGACCCCACTGTACTCATTTATTCTGCAGAATAAATAAGTATTTTTGTAGTGGGTGTTATCTTTTTCTCCCACCTGGTAGGTAATCAGAACTGGCCTAGCGAGGTGTTCAAACTGTTAATTTCTACAACACCTATGAATGAGCAATCTCCAAAATGTCCTGCCTTCAACTGCCCAGCTCAGCTCTTCTAAACTCAAGCCTGTGGCTTCCTTTATGGAGTCAGTTCATCTCATATTTGGTCTTCTTATTTTCCATCTGCCTTCCACCTTTGGTGTTGTCCAGAGAACCCTGCCTTCTCATGATGTGCCCTAAGGAGGACAGCCTCAGTTTCAACATTTTTGTCACCAGAGATAGTTCAGGCTTGATTTGTTCTAGGGCCCACTTGTCTGTCTTTCTGGCAGTCCAGATTATCTGCAAAACTCTTCTCCAGCATTACATTACATTTTCCTGCCAGTTTTCTTTACTGTTCAGCTTTGACACCCCTACATGGGGTCTGGAAAAACAAGAGTGTGGATGATCTTGGTCTTGGCCTCCAGTGACACATCCTTACACCTGACTGATCTTTTCTAATTCCTTCATTGCTGCCCTTTTAAGTCCCAGTCTTCTCATTTCGTGGCTACAGTCTCCATTTGGGTTGATGACTGAGCCAATACCGATAACCATATATAGTGGCTAAAATCTTGTTTGTGCAGCTCTTCATGCACAACAGTAATGACATCACCATAAATGATAAAATGTCACTGATAAAAAGTTATTTGCACGTGACTATGACTTGTACACAATGTGACAAGATCAGATGCACTCAAAACTCACCAAAGGAAGCCTTTAAACAATGGTGATTCACTGCTGCTACTTCTGACATTACTATTGTCCATGCTGAGGTGAACAGCAGGATTTTTAGTCACTGGGTCAACTGGTTTTTAGTATTATTTTTCATGGGCAAAGACATGTCAACTGAAGCACTGTGCATCATCAACACACGACAAATTAAAAAGTGTTATTATTTTATTTGTATACAGAGCAGTTCAAATGATCAAAAATTATTTAGAGTTGTATTAGTATGGAAATAAGCCTGCAATGCTCTAAAACACAATTAAAAAGTATATGAAATACAATATATTTTGAAAAATATCTGTATTATAAAAATGCTTCTGAAAGCACACTGCCCCACTGAAACTACATTTAACAAATTAAATATCTGATAGGATGATAAGACTAAGAGAATTAACAATCCTGTGTGTGAGATGAACCAGACTGGTAAGAGTGATTTGAGATGGTTATTTGAAATATGTAGAACAGATAGATATTTTTCAGAACTATAAACTCAACGTCACAGTTATACTTACGAGTTATGCACTGGCAGGTACGGCAACCGTTTTGGTCTACTTTGAAATCATAAATGCAATCCATCTCAGTTAAGCTGCAGTTCACTAGTGGATAACATGTGGGTGGACCCACTGTGATGTATGTTGGCTCTAATGAAAAAAGAAATAAGAAGTTATAACATATATACTGCACAATGCAAAACTTGTGATCTGAAATTTATTAGTGCAAATGTCTGTTGGTAAAATATGCTATGACAAGGATAGTCAAAAAAGCTTGGTAATATTTGCTTCACAACAGGTTTAATTAGTCAGTCCACAAATCCCATATACTCAGATGATGAGATTTGTTACACTTCTTCTGTCCTTTTGCTGTTTAAAGAGGCTTTCTCTCCAGACACCAAAATGCAAATCAATGCCTAGCAGAACAAGTATCTCCACCGGCTAAGGCATGTGAAATATTGATATCCTAACATGCATGGTGCAGTTAATCAGAAATAGACCCTCATTCTTTATTTCATTAGTATTCAAATTTATTTATTTCCAGATCAGCATAAAGCACAACAAATAAGTACAGTGGGGTCTCGACTTACGAACGGCTCGACATACGAACATTTCAACTTACGAATCGCTCTCATAGGAATATATGGACTCGACTTACGAACTGAGATTCGAGTTACGACCTCTTTTTTTCCCTTTTTAAAAAAGCTAAGTCATCTTAGGTTAAAAGGAAAAAAGAAAAAATATCCCCCTCTAGTGGCAGAAGGCGGAATAGCAGCTTCCCATTAGTTTCTATGGCCGAAAAGAGCAGATACGGATTAAATGGTTTTCAATGCATTCCTATGGGAAATGCAGATTCGACTTAAGAACTTTTCGACCTGAGAACTGCCTTCCAATACGGATTAAGTTCGTAAGTCGAGTCCATATATTCCTATGAGAGCGATTCGTAAGTTGAAATATTCGTATGTCGAGCCGTTCGTAAGTCGAGACCCCACTGTACATATGCAGTACAGTGGTGCCTCGCACAACGAGGGCCTCACACAACGATAAGTTCACACAACGATGGCTTTTCCTGAAAAATTAGGCGCCTCACACAACGATAAGTTCACACAACGATGGCTTTTCCTGAAAAATTAGGCGCCTCACACAACGATAAGTTCACACAACGATGGCTTTTCCTGAAAAATTAGGCGCCTCACACAACGATAAGTTCACACAACGATGGCTTTTCCTGAAAAATTAGGCGCCTCACACAACGATAAGTTCACACAACGATGGCTTTTCCTGAAAAATTAGGCGCCTCACACAACGATAAGTTCACACAACGATGGCTTTTCCTGAAAAATTAGGCGCCTCACACAACGATAAGTTCACACAACGATGGCTTTTCCTGAAAAATTAGGCGCCTCACACAACGATAAGTTCACACAACGATGGCTTTTCCTGAAAAATTAGGCGCCTCACACAACGATAAGTTCACACAACGATGGCTTTTCCTGAAAAATTAGGCGCCTCACACAACGATGTTTCCTATGGGGATTTTCGCTTAAGGACGGCAATCCGTTCCAATTGGAACGGATTGCCGTCCTTAAGCGAAAATCCCCATAGGAAACATCGTTGTGTGAGGCACTCGTTGTGCGAGGCACCACTGTATCTCCAAGATATTTTACACATTTGTCACATTTCTATTATTCAGGCACATTTACCTAAACACTAAAAAGGTACAGCCTGTCATGTGTTAAATAGCATGCACATTTTTTCCACAATGTTCTCCTTTAAAATACAAGAGTGACAGTCAGAGTTTTTCCTTTGTTAACATTATTAATCTGTGAATTTTAAATTTAGAGTTTATACACATAAAATGAGAAAACCCCACTAAAGATTTCATTCACTCAGAAAAATGCAGCTTTCTAGGAGAAATACAAGGAACAGTTTACTGTAATTAGAATAGTCATGGATTCTTAAAAACTGTATGAATGTTTAAAATTCTGAAAAAGCTGCACTTACTTGATAAATGCTATGAACAAATTACAGCATTTCAATTCAATTAGACCTATCACAGATGAACCACAAAGGAAAGCCAGCAGAGGCAGTACATATTAGTTAAACCATTATTGACTCGGATAGAGTCTCATGTTTTGGTACTAACTTCTGTATTTATTGTAACAGAAAATTCAAGTATTTTATTACTACTGTCCCAGTGGTCTCTACAGATCTTAGATGAGTTTGAAATTTCATTCAGATACTCTGAGGACTGACTCCACACAGCAAATCTTAGACGAGAAAGATCAAATTCGCTAACTCATTATTTGGTACTGAAAACTTCAAAAACTAAAGATCAGTAATTTTTTACAGTGTCCAATAATATAAACAAATGCTTGAAAATGAGACTGCAATGCACGATAAACATGCCCACTATGTTAGCAAAAGTAAAATCTCTGAAGTATATTAGAAATAAAGCTGTCAATCTTTTTCTAGATTAAGCGTTCAGTCTGTACTTGCCAGTGCACTACTACATTTACATCATATGTTATGATAGATGATACAGAGATCTGTGAAGTCTTGTAAACTACATTCAGAAGCCTAATATCCTAAAGCAATAAACACTAATAAACCACAAACCCATTATAAATTATACAAATGCAATCAAATGAATATAGTTGCAAGTAACAAACAAATGTAAAAAATATTCCTCACAATATTGATTTTGTTTCAGAATCCAAAATACAGTAGAATGTATGTTTTGTTTCATATTCAACTTCAAGAAAAATACCAGCAACTAGTGTTTGAGAACAGTTCCATCAGATACTTCAATCACTCCTGACTAACTGAAGACCTGTTGAAAAGCTGCCTCAGAGGAAGATGCAGATATATGCAGGCATTCTGAACAGAACTGGGAAATGAATGCTGATTAACACTGAATATTTGGCAAATAAACAAATAATGTCCAGAATCGTACTTGGTGTTCATATGAAGTTGGTGTAACTTGTCATGGTTAACTGTGGCTAATGAATGAAATGTAGGAGCATTTCTCAGTTGCATTACTGGATGCATAACCAGACATGCAACTGAGATACGGTCCAGCATTTCACTAATAAACTGCAATCAAACAAGGCAAGCTTTACACATCTTACACATGAAGATTCTGGTTGACATAGTTAAACTGATTTAACTGCCACTGAAACTAATAGAAAAAAACCCTCTTCAGTCTATGTTGTATGCTGAAGAAACTTCAAAATGTGTTTTAAGTATTTTATTTATCTACTGAACGGGCAAGTGTCGTTCTCAATTACTTTTTGCAATCTACTTCTTACAACCTTTGTAATTTATGTGGCTTTTTAATAATGGTTTTATTCTTGAAAGATAACAACAGCTTCTTCTCAAATGATGTGTGAGAATTTAAGGATCTGTACAAGATAAAACAGGAGCAGTTGTAAGTAATTGTTCTTCTATAGCATTTCAAAATCTTTGCAGCTTTCCCCATCTCTGTTCAAAATCTATATAGCCTATATATTTCATTGCAATCTTATCAATGACTACCTTCTCTTATTCATAAAGGTAGCTGCCAATATATAGCAATTTTATATGCATGCCTGATTCCCAATAAGCTGCAAAAGAGGACAAAGGACATAATTTCACTCCCTACCCCCATGAACCAAAAATGCAGCTTCAAAAATGGGGGAAAATACCCAACTCTTTTCACTTCACTGAACAAGACTCAACAAATAAAGCCAGTTCAGCTACTGCCAGGCTTCTGACTATTTGAATACGCAAACAGTTAAGCTTGAAAAAGCACACATGGACATGTGATTTAGGTTAGCCTTTCACTGCTGCCCTTGACAAACTGTAGAAGAAAGAAATAGTGCACAAATGACGAGACAATGGATGGGAAAATAGCATTCTGTCTCTGTATATTTTAGAAATGCTTGCAGGGACCTGCTAACATAGATTATAATGGAATATAAATTTATCACTGTAAACTTAACTACAACAGGTAGCTACTAAAATAGTTTATTCGACATGTCCATAACATTTTGTAAAATGTATCATAATTTTTAGCTTTATCCTAGCTAAAAGTTTTTTTCAGACATTTCATAAGTTCTGTCAAATGCAGTTAAAGCTATACAATATTTTTATTGTACAGGATTTTGTGCAGCAACACTGATTTTAAAGGTATCTGTGTAACTTCATCTAGAGATTCCTTCAAGAAATGTTGCCAATTAAATTCAGAACAGGCAAAATTATTATTTTACTGCTTTAATTATTAGCGCAAGCACCTAAATCTACTAAGTTATCTCACTATTGCTTCATGGCCACCAAAAATACTATCAGCTGACTGGCTCTTTTCCAGCATCAAACTTGAGATTCTCAGCATCAGCATAATGGCCAACATAGAAACAATAATGCACAGCAGTGGTTAAGGACTGGCCACAATAATTCTGCACTATCTTCTTTTAAGCCTTCTGTATTTTTCATACCATGAAAAAATGTAATGCAAATATAAGTGTTATCTTTCTTTTAAAGAACACATCATCATTTTTTCTTATAACATAAGTGCTCAAGAGTCATAAAATCAGTTACATGAATTGCAAATAGGCTATGGTATATGTACCCACTATGAAATTTCTCCACTGAAATTAGCGCATAATTTAAGTTCATGACTTGAATCTCTTAAATTTTAAAGAAGCTGAATCTTAAATAGAAATCTCAAAATGTACCAAAACATAACTAATTCGTTCCTTTGTGTATAAAGGATCTATTGCACAAAATTCCTCAAATAATTTGACCCCATCATCTAGACAATATTGTATCACAAACACAGGGAAGGCGTTAAGGAACTGCCACTTTTAATTAGACTAGATACTCAGGCTTCCACGTTCATTATTTTCAATTAAATAGGCTTTGGATAAAACAATCTAATCATGCTATATACCCTTGTCAGTTTTCTACAGGGCAGATTGTGCCAGATAATTGTGTGTTATGACCCTGAAAGCAAATAAGTTCTGGTTGTTTCAGTGTGTGACATCACTAAGTGAACACTATACATACCCATGTTTTACATTATCAAACAACAAAGGATGTCCAAAAGAAGAATTCTGCAAAGAATGCTAAGTGTGACTGCAAAAAAATAACTGACAGCAATAGACTGAACA